TGGGAAAATACAAGAATTAATCCAGATGGCACCAAATCTCTTTATTAGCATATATAGGCAGAGAGTGCTTATAATACCAAACTGTATCTTTTTTATTGATTGCTCTAGAAAGCTGTTCTTCTGATGGATCACAGTTCTTGGGGAGGACAAGAGTTTCAGTTATCCTTTGATACATGAAAAAACATTACTAGTGAGTAAACCTTCCGAAAATAAAACCAGGTGAGCCTCTTCTACGAAGGGTGGAAAAAAATCGAATCATTCCAGCTAAACTACTCACTACAAAGGGATTGCACCGACCTTACAAGGTAGTAAAAGAGAGACCAAACTTGAACAAAAAGCCGATGTTTTAACTGATTAACTCAGTTTTAAAGTTTGGGGATCCTAATTGCCCCAAAAGCTGTTCAAACTAAATTACGCCATTTACACCAGTGAATGCAGCAGAGATTCAAGTGCTGGGTGTCAAGAAGGAAACGGCTCCGGCATCAGTGGAGGTCAGTGCTCGTGCGTGGGGACTGGCAGCTGCAGCTCCATCTCATTTGGGTGAACCAGCAGTACCTCTCCCAAATTAAGAGGAAATGTCACATTTCCAAGGATTTCTGTAGGCCTGACAGTAGCACACCCTCAGAAAATAGCCTCCAAAAACTGGCTGATACGAGATGAGCTCAGTGTAAAGATCCTCCACTAGTTAACGCCTTCATCACATAAGCCATTGCCACTTTGATGGGCTCTCAAGGAGCTGCTCCTGTCTTTAAATCGTAATTATGCATTTGTAGTGTGATTCGTAATGTGTTTGCCTCCTTTTAGTCTGTGCTCTTTTATCCCCCCTTGTGTCCCATCCAGGATTCAAGCCTGGCTGGAGCCGGCTGGAGAAGTGGTGGGTTGGTAGCACAGTGATATCGAAGTACTTCGTAATTGTATGTGGGATTTCACATTCAAGCTACACGCTTTGTGAACGAAATTAATTTGCATGGCTTTGTTGGAGGCAATGAAAGGGGAGTACTCTAACAATGTCCTTATTCTCCCAGACCATCCTGAGAAAGAATGAAAAAAAATGGAAAGTTTATCATGGGCTTCACCTACGTCCGCCTTGGGAACACCCATCTAACTCCCACAGCCGCCCCCACAGAAGTCATGGTCGCTGATCCCAACAGCCAAGTGTTGTAGTTGCTGCAAAGTCCACATTTGCACAATTGTGTATTTGATGTCCAATTTAAAAATACATACCCAAGAACTGAATTAGCGTTTCGCAAATTTCATAGAAGAGCCAGCAGTTCAAACTGCCTTCGTCTGATTGTCAATCCAAAAATTTTACAAATACTACATTCACTTTCACACCAAAATGAAAAAGAAAAAAAAAAATCAAGACTAGGAAATACATATCTCAGTTTATACTTCTTGCTTATGGCCCAGACAAAGTAAAATCCCATTTAGTGGCTTACATTAGGAATGTAAAGGAAGATAACACTACTCCTAAATCAACATCTGAAAGAGAAAACCAGCTTTTCTTAGCACCTTCTTCTGCACCCAAGCAGAATAAAACTGAAACAGGCATGGGAAATAAATTTCCTTTCACACAAAGACCTGGGCTTTTCAGGACAAACAGATTATCCCGCCTCGAAAGAAGACGACTGTGGTATTTGGCTGTCAATTGAAAAAAGCCTTTATCAAATATTCAACGTGGTTCTCGACCAAGGGAAAGAAAAATCAAAATGCAAAGAGGAAATACGGATTTCAGTTTGCAGTCTTAGCTTGGGATCTAAACAAGCAAGCATGAAGTCTGTTTCATTATCTTCAGGCTGTCTTCATCACAGCTGCCCGAGCACGACAGGACAGTGCAGGGTGCTTTCCAAATCCTCCCTTCCCGCAGCGTCCCCCGTCACACCTCCGCCATCAGCCCTGCCGCCCGAGCTCTGCCCGGCGCTTCGAAGATGCTTCTCCTGGCCTGTGCTGATCAATGGGTGTCCAAATTTCAGCTTACCGAGTCTATTTTTGGAAGGGGTAAATTCCGAGGGAAAAAAGGGAAAATATTTTAAAGGAAATGGAATGCTTCACATTTTACTTCAAAATGATTGGCAGATGGACGCTCTTTTTTTCCATATTCCCCATTTCATCTGCTCGGGACAGTGAAATCGGGTGTCATAAAATACAGCAGAACAAGGTTTGTCATCAGCTTAGCGTGGCGAAGCGAGAGCCTGCGTGCCCGTCCCCGCGCGGCGGGGAACTCGTGCAGCGCCCGCTGCGGCTCCAGCCCAGCTCCAGCCAGGAGCATCGCTGCAGCTGCTGCTCAAACTAGAAAATGAGCAAAGAGGAGCCACCGAGATGGCACGATGGCCAGAGACAGAATAGGAAATGTAACCGGAGAGTCTGCTGCAAAAAAAACCCCACGCATCCACTTCTGGCAGGGCTCCTAGCAGCCTCGGGCAAAGCCAGCCCCTCCGAAGACAGTCACACCAAAAGCGCCCACAGAGAAGCCTCTCGGACGATCCTGCAGTTCTGTGGCTTTCCCGAGAGATCAGCGGGAGGATACATGTGAAGGTTTGGCTTCCACAAATCATAGAATCACAGAATCATTAAGGTTGGAAGAGACCTCCAAGATCATCGAGTCCAACCATCATTCAAATCCTGAATTATGAGACACACCAACCTCCTAAGCAAAAATCTGCACCAGGGCCTCACCGTACCTGACCTGGTCCTCAGTCCACAATTAAAATCCAGTGCTTGCCAGTGGGAAATTTGCCTTTTTTTTTTTAAGGGTGTCAAACCTCACAGTCCATCCAGACTCGGAGCTCCCATTGCCTTCCGAGCAGCCTTCCCGCCACGGCGCGGGGGATTACAGACACCACAAACTGCCTACAAACCAGGGAGCCGGCAGCATCCTGGGAAAGCTCCAGCCCCCGAGCATCACCAGTATGGACCATTGTATCTTCAGACACCACCAGTTTATCAGGGGAAAAACCAAGCCATCCCAGTGGCGCCCATCCGGGGCGCACGGGCACGTTGCTCAACAAACACACATACCACTTGGCATACCTTACCTGGAAAGAGGCTTTATTGAACATAGCTGTAAAATTATCTCTTCAGTTGAATTACTGAATTTGCACAAACATTTCTCTACAGAATAAAAAAAATCAAGCCTTGTCATTGTTTTACTGCATCTCGTTGTGCTTTTTATACTCATATTTGCAAATATTATACTCGTTTGTTTTCACGTTTGTACTCCAATTACTTGCATATCAGTTTTTTTTTAATCCTAGGGTGTCGAGAGAACACAGAATAATAATTATAATAATAATACTCTTCTTTAGACAAAAGTCTTTTTTTTTTTTTTTAAATCAAGTTAAAAGCTGAGATAATTTACGGAAAAAGGTCTTCAAATTGTCATAACCAACTATAAGGGAACTTTACAATGCAGTGGAAAACCGGCTGGCTAACGGTACGTGTTCGGGTAGCTCAAAACCATTTGTACAGCTTTTATTTTTTTTGTTGTAAAAGTGGATTTTTTTTTTTTTTTTTTTTTTTTTTTTAGATTTCGCTACAATAACAAAATAATCTTTCGCGATCTGCACAGAGTCTGGCTCCAGGGCAGAGGCACTGCACCCTCGGGGCTCCGCTGGCGCCAGGTGTGCAGAGAGCTCTGCGCTTTGCTTGGTGTCTCGGTACGCACTGCCGTCCCCCACGCACGCCTCCCCGTCCCGCTAACGCTGGGGCCGACTGCCTTGCGAATGGAGGTTAGAGTAAGAAAATCACTTCTGTGTTTTACCACCTTCTGCGCTAAGTGTATCGTAACAACCTTTTCCTCTGGTTGACCCGCTTGATAACCTGAAAAAACAACAACAACAACAAAAAAGAGTGCTGCTCCCATTTCCAGGACCAACGGAAGCTATTTTCTAATGGATAATAAGCTGAAAGGCCATGGCTGTCTGGAAGGTTAAACAACAAATATCTCATCCGAAAGGGCTTACGCAGCAGCTTAGGTCCATCCATCTCCAGAAGCGGCTTCGTCTCCTTGCCTGCAGTCTGCACACCCAGGCTCCGTAGTTTGTTTAGAAAATAGTTTGCACAAACCGCATTTTAGCAGTGCAAGCTTCTGTGTTGAAATTATTATTATTATTTTATTATTTTATTATTTTATTTTTAAATCAGGCTTGTTTCATTGAAGGCACTTGGTTTCCATGGCAATTTATAAAAGACGGTGGTTTGGTTTCTTCACTTCATTAGAACAGATGACTTAGTTGGGGAGGGGAGAGGGGTGTTCGAGTGGCCGCAAGCAAACTCCAATAAGCCTGTGTAATATGTAAGCCCAGGTCGCACATCCTGGATAGTAATGCATGCAAAAGGAGACAGCATACAGTTATCAAGCATAGCCATGAGAAATGAAACATAAATGTCTTAAAACAGCTCTGATTTAGGGTTATTCTCTAGGGGAGGTGACAGCCAAAGTAGAAAGGGCCTACATTTATTTAACTCTATACTAAAAACCTTCTTGAAGGGAAAATGAATGCCAGCTCTTCACATACCCTGTTTACAGTGAGGTGTTTCTCTCTCTCTCTCTGTTTTTGTTTTTATTTCCTCTCTCTCTCCTTCCTGTTTTTTTTTTTTTGGCAGGCCATTAGGTTTCCATGGTAACAAGCAAACTATTCATTTGAAACAAAACCAGCCATGACTTTGTGCTTTGACAAGGGTTTCTACAGCTCTTTTCCGAGAGTTCAACCAGATGATGCTGTATTCATTATTGACCACAAAAGCACCTGAAGGTCTCTTCCTTACTTAGGCCAGATCTCGTTCTCACGCATGGTTCATAGTGAGTTACGCTCCCGTGATGCCTTTTATGTCCCCAGTGCTTTTTAATTATTTTTTTTTATTTATTTATGTATTTATTTAACTTTTGAGTCAGTCAGTGGAGGAATCTTTGGTAGTTTGTTTTTAAATGTCCATTTTACAAAGACTCTTTCTTCATGCCAGTGCCTGGTGAATCTTTTGTAGCCTCTGCCAGGATAAGGTCACCTCTGATGACTTAAGACAGACATGAGGATGATAACTGGGATAAGTCGTATATGCGCTAATGTCCCAACAGCACCTGATCGTAAATCTACAAAGAGGGGTGAAAAAGGTAGAATTAAAGAGCTGCCCAGACACAGTCAGCATTGCTACAAGGCTTAGAAGATAAAGGGCTCAGCAGCCACCATAACTTGTCCTGCACACCAACGCAGAGGCAGCCGGGGAGGACAACGGGGTGGTGCTCACCCAGGCTGTCTCCGCTCGTCACACCGCGTGCCACCGACCTCCCCTGGCAGAGCCCCGGTCTCTGTAGGGACAGCGCTCTGCAAGGTCACCTCCTACAAGGAGGGGACGAGAACAGCGCTCGCCAGCTGAACGAGGCAGGAGACACCGGGGTAAGAAACCACCTGGCTGCGTAGTTAAGGTCTGTATTGCAATGCACACACGGGGGGTGGAGGGATGAAACAAGGTCCACAGGGAATCACAACACTGATATTCATTGACTGCATATTCTTTGGACTCCCTGAACATTTTTTAAACGTTGCTTTATCTGTCTGCCCATCTCGAATCACGCCCGCCCAGCTGAGCCCAGCCCTGCCGTGGAGTGCAGCCCACTGCTCTCGCCTCTGCCCGATGCCCATCAGCCTTTCACTTGCATCTCTGCTAAACCAGCATTTTCCTATCTGAACAAAGACATTTTGGCTCCAGAGCTTGCTTCCAAGGAAAACGTTTCACTTTAAGCCTCTCCAACTGAACTGAACAATATATTGTTCTCCTGGAGAAAATCCATTTTAGAAGGTGTCTCAAATTTATAACCATGAGAAGCAATTCGCTCTCCCCCACGTGTGGAAGAGCCACTTACTGTTGGCCGGTTGGTCTGATTTCATACACTCTCCTTCCACAATTGATACATCATCAATAGCAATATCACCTTCGATGCCGGGGCCCCGGATCCCTTCAAATATGAGCTGCAAAAAGATAAAGAAGGAGCTGATCAGAGGGTAACGAATGGAAAACGTTCAGCTACATTTTCCATGGCATTAAACTACATCAATGGGCTTGGAATAATTTACAAGCACTTTCTATGGTGCAAAAAACCGCTACCGAGTTCACACGTACTTGTAAGGTTAACACAGAGGATGTGTGGGCTATGGAGGCTTTTAACTCTTCAGAATGAGCTGAAAAATATCAAAGCTGCTAGTTGTCTGCCTAGTTGTCTGCCTGGTGTCTCCAGGTCAGCTTCACCGCTATGCTAACTCTAACCTGTGTACTTATTTAAGTATGATATTCCTGGAGCAAAGAGCAGGATTAAATGGAGGAAAAGTTTTAAAGAGATTTGGGGTGTTTTTCCCAGAAACTCCTGCCACCTGAAGTGAGTGGCAGAGGCACAGGTTGCGCCAGGGGATGTTTAGATTGGACATGAGGAAAAAATTCTTTACTGAAAGAGTGGTTAAACGTTGTAAGAGGCTGCCCAGGGAAGTGGTGGAGTCACCATCCCTGGAGGTATTTAAAAGACGTGTAGATGAGGCGCTGAGGGACATGGTTTAGTGGGCATGGTGGTGTTGGGTCGACGGTTGGACTCGATGATCTTAGAGGTCTTTTCCAACCTTAATGATTCTATAATTCTATGATTCTATGAAGAACAGCATGTGTGACATGTTGAAGGACTGAGGATCCACATGACCACAGACTGCATGAAAACACACAGGAGCCAGAAAAACTCCACAGTAAGATGAGGTTTCTGGCTCTAGAAGGTGGCCCAACCAGTCCCTCCCACCCCATCTCCCACACTGGGCTCCCTCACCTGCACCCCGGTGGCACTTCCCTGAAGGCAGGAGGAGGACAGGAGCTACCCCCCTGCAACCTTCCCCTGGCCCATGAAAGCTTGGGAGAAACCTCTCATGAGCCAGGTTAGTATCCCTTCACCCATAATGCAAAGCTACATAAATCTCAAGGGGTCAGGAAGGGACTACCTTTGGATCCCTTTGGATCCCCTGAGGTCCCACAGTGATCTCCTGCGATCACCTCGGTGGATTTTAATCTCCCAGATCTCCTGCCATGGCAGGAACTGATGACAGTGACAGCCCCGCTTCTCTCCTGCCCCTTTTAGTAGCTCATCATCATGTTCAGAAGCTTTGATCCCTTCTAGGAATGGTTTTATATTTATCAGAGGACATTGTGATGCGTTTTATCACAGAGAGGGTCAGGGTAGAGATTTTATTCCTCTTCAAGGCTTTAACCTCTGCTAAATGGACGCCTGTGATTTCAAGGCCCTATTAATCACTTTCTGTCAAATATTCCTAGTCTGAAACCCCAACTGCTACGGCTGGGAAAGGAAACGGTGCCTGAATGGAGATGAGTGGCTTGTTGCAAGGTCAGTAATATTATTTGCCGTAATGTTCATTATTAGCTGTGGATTACTATTGTACTAAAGAAACAAACTTATCCGCTCTCCTTCCCCAAACCCAATGTGATGCCATCCTGCCATACCGCTGCTTAATTAGCTTTGCAGAACAGTGGACTCATTCTGCGTTGCGAGAAATTTATTCACTAGAAAACTTCAAAGCCTTTCTAAAGAGATGGAGGAATTATGTAAGGAATATATTTCCCAAGCAGCACCATTTCCACAGTTATCTCTCCTTTCCTCCCCCCGCCCCCCCTTCAGTCCTTTGAAATATTTTTGGTTAACTTAGATGACAAGTTTTTTAACTTTAATCTGCAACAATATATGCATGAAATTCAGTGAATTTTATAAGGGCATGCTGTGGCACTAATGGAGACATTAACTCTTGGGGTAGAGTCAATTTGAAAAAAAAAATTAATTCCGTCTGGAGCAAAATACTTAAATTACCCTTCACAATGATCTAACTGCATCAGGGAGATGTCTGGGGCACTCGGATGGGCTCTCTCTGTTGTCACTGATTTCAGCAGAACACGGATCCGAGCCTCTTCTTTTACAAAAAAAAAACGACATTTCTTTGCTCATTAATACGGTTCAACAAGAGCTGCTCATTTGAAATGAATACCTTCCATTTTAAATGATGAGTAAACGGTCAGGGCAGTGGAAGATAACCCTGTAGATCACAGGGGTCCGGTAGCTAGTCCAGCCGGGTGCGTATCACCCAAGGACCATATCGCAACGGTGCGCGATGCCACCAGACGTCGCATTGCACAGGCAACTCTCCGCTCTGCCTTTCCACGGAGGGCACGTCCCTCAACCTCGGCCACGGGCACATCTCGTCCTTTTGCTAAGCTGAGCACTCCCAGCAGGTGCCTGACCCTGCAGCGGTAAGCTGGCAATACAAAGGTACGTATTTACAGCCTGCCTGTTGTGTCCTAAGCCAGGCGGCAAGGTCTGCGCTGGGAGCACTAAAGAAATGTGAAAGCTGTGCATTTGGGGCAGGAGACTCCATCGGTATTTTATTGAAGTGCGACGCTGTAGGTTAATTACTATAACAAGGTAGATATTAATGCAACAGGGAACTGTAATTGGGAAAACAGTAAGTTTTTCTACAATTTACCCTGTTGTCTGAAAACAGTGTCTCAAGTAATTATCCCTCTGACAATTTTTTGACTTTACCTCTGATGATGGGAAGTATTCAGCTCGAGAGGAAAGTGTCTTCTCTTCTCCCCCAAAGTACAGCTTGCCCTCCTGCTCCTTGGCAGCGGGCATATAACCAGTCAACGGAGTTTACAGTCAAATCTTTCCTGACGGTAATGAAAAACACTGTTTCCAGACAAAAGGACTCTATACAAATACAGTGGCCAGCATTTAATTAAAATCTGCATTTGGCAGTGTGTTTTATGGGTCCCTGAGACGGGCTGCCATTAGTCAGCTTGGCCACATGCTTAGAACAAATCACCGCAGATGAGTGTTGGCAAGGCACAGAGCACAATCCAGCCTGCAGTTCAGAGCGATTTGCAGGAGGTGCCAGATGATCAGAATCCCCTATCAGTATCCCACAAAACCTATTATCTGCATGTCCGTGACTTTACAAAGCTGTTGTTAAAAATACTGCGTTTAGCTGAAGAATAGAGGGGCTTACGGGTACAGCAAAGGCCACTCTGCTCTCTTAGCAGGGGAAATGGAAATAAGCCCCAATAGTGCCTCCAGAGTTATCCCGAGTGTCTCCGGGGGACTCAGCTTGTGCTTCTTCAACAGGATTTCAGACAGATTTTACCTTCCTGGCCAGTCTCCTAATAAGAAGTAGAGAGGAGCCTCATGAACGTCCCCAGCCGGACAGCACGATGACAAGGGTGTAAGCCCTTCACACTCGCTGTAAGGGGCTGGAAATCTCAATGGTCCGGCAGAGTCATTTACTTAAGGGCAGATCAGTCCCCCAATGCAAAAAACCCCTCCTTTGCAAAAAATGTCTTTGACACAAGAAGGTGTCAAGGAAAGTGTAGCTGAAGGCGGTGGCAGTGCTCCTGCTCAAATCCGAACTAAAATTGACACCTTCCTAGATGCCAGTGTTCAATGTATCACTTCCATATACCCTCTTTTTTTGTGTTTATTCTTTAAAAGTACTTAATAAGTGAATATGTTACTGAGATACCTTTTATGCAATACTTTTTCTGATTCAAAGCACTATAGTCCTCTCGGTTCTTCATGAGAGAAGCTTTGTAATATATCACGGGGACTGGGAAGGTATAAAACAAATCTGGGCTGCACTTTTACTCATATAAATTAACCTATGAAAAGTTTTAATTTCTGTGTCAGTGTACTGGTTTACTGCAAAGATTCACTTCAATTCACTCTCCTTAAATTTAACTGGGAGGTTTATATTCTTTTCTACTTAGACTCCTAAATGGAAAATAAAGTTTGCTTGATGCAAGAGCTTCTAAAAAAGTAATTTAAGGTTCCAACCACTGACATTTATTTGTTGTATTTGTGCAGAGCTTCATGGCTTCACATTCATTTTATGCTGAAGCCTTTAAACACAACAATGTAAAAGGTGAAAAATAGCCAAGCAGAGGAGCTTCCATTTTGTGTACCAGCTAGTGATGCCAGTGAATATGGTTTTAAAGCAATGCGAGTGAGGTGCACCAGTAGCAGAAGTGACCCCTGTAACTTTCTGAAAGCAATGGGGCCCCGTGCAAGGGCCGATGCTCGGACTCCACGGTGAAAGCAGCAACTCGGGTACCGGGAGCTGCTGGCTGCTCTGCCGATGCCTCACCCTGGCTGACCCCGTGCAAGGCAGACACCCCAGCTTGCCCTTCCACCCAAACCCATGCCTTCCTCTCCATGCTGATGAGATGACCCCCAGCTTTGCACCCCATCGCCCTCCTCCACGCCTCTGCGTTGCTGGTGCCAAATCCTTTGCATCTCTCTGCCCGGAGCTGATGTCCTCGTCCTTCCCCTACTTCTGCTAAAGCCTGTCCCAGGTCTCAGGAATCCCGCTCAGACACAACTGCGATCTGTTTCAGCTTCCCCAGCCATCTCTTCTCTCCCCTTACCAGTCATGTTCAGATACTAAATCATTCTTCTATACTTCACTGTTCAGATTTCTTGGATTTATCCTGACTTCACCAATGCAAAACTTACCCACTCTGATCAGCTCCCTCGTACTTGGCCCCATGCTATAAGTGCATTTCAACACTTGTATCCCTCTTCTCTGCCTCTTCCCCAATTCTGCCGCTTTGTTCTACTCAAACTTCATGTAACGCTATACTCTACATATCCCTCTCCTTCAATTTTCCTCTAATTTCCCCCCACGCAATGCTTCTGCGATCATATATGCCAAATCATTTCTTTTCCATCATTGCCTCTTATGCATGGAAATAAAAACAAAGGGTCAGGATCAGTAATTACCCATAAAGTGAATCCCAATCTACATGTTTAAGATAGCAGTTTTGACTTGCACTGAATACTGTTTTTCCCAAAAGCCATGATCTCTCCCAGGGGACCTGGAGGTTACAGAGAGGGGGCAGAGGAGCCTGGAGAACATTGCATCCCAGGGCACAGCCTGTGACTCTCGTCTTCCATGCCGATACTCCCAGCCCCAAACCCACGAGGGCTTGCTCACGGCAGCTGCCTTTTTGGGTCTGCTCCAGTTACAAACAGCTCACAGCGTGAATGAGGACTGCCCATCATAGTCTATCAGCATCTCACTGTCAAACCAAAAATGAAAAGTGTGAAAACCTGTCATAACTTGCATGCACCTACTGAATGAGGTGTGCAGCTCTGCCGTACCAGCAGCTCCGTGCAGGCAGCACTGCTGCTTTGGTACCTTTCAGCAAAGACTCGGAGATCATTCCTTTTCCTGTGGAAAATGCATATATTTCAAGAGACCTCTAACATAGTCACTACACCATGGACTCTAAATATTTTTTCACAGGAAGTAATTTTGTATTTCAGTTGCTAATCTGAGACAAAAAAAAAACGTTTTATATCGGCTAACAGCATCTTCTGAAAACTGAAAGACATTTTGTCTTCAAGGAAATAGCTGCTGTTCTGCCATTGAAGTGTGTATTATTAAGCTCTATGGTGCTCACCTATTTAAAGCAAGGAAAGCAATTATCTGCCCATAAAGCAGCTTTCAGAGCTGCAACGAAGCTGTGAAATCCTGTGTGAGAAGGAAAGGGTCAGCATACCCAGGCCCCCCCCTCCGAAAACCAAATACTCCCATTCCGGGTGTGCTATGCACAAGCTGTTACCTGAAATGAAGTTGGGGGGTTTATATTAACGCGGGCTTGGTTCCAGTGCTGTCCCTTATTTCCACTTGAAGACCACAACGGGTTCTCTATCGCGGTCTGACCTTTCAACCGCAGGTAAACGTTCAAGCTTCCTAGAAGAGAGGTGGAGAACCGGAATTGGTTAGGCTCTCTGATGGAGCAGAGATGCTGGGCTGGGTACAGCAGCAGTCCCCTGCTCACCCCTCTTCCCATTTTGCATGGGCCTCTGCTAGGTCTGCGTGGATGTGGAGAGTTTCTTGTCCCGTATTCGAAAACTTTAAAACTTAGGAACACCGTGAACTGGTGATGTGAATTCACAGCAGAGTGAAGTGCACACAAACTGAGTACGCGGGGAGCGTGATCCCCTGTCGCGGGCAGGGCAGTTGCACCCATTGCTCCCTGCAGCTCAGGAAGGACACGAGGCTTCCCAGGGTGAGATGGGCAAAAAAGAGTTTTCTGTGCTTTAGTGCAAAGGAGGCATTTATAACCTCCTAACGCAAGGATAAATAAGCAACTTGGTTGCCTTATGCTTAGTTCTCGCTTGTAAAGACTGTCCAACTTCTAATGGAGTGCCATAGAGCCTGGCAAATCTATCTCAGAGATAGATGTGATGCCCTTACTACTACTAAGGAGTATCTTTGAAGGACAACATAATCCTCTAAGTTCAAATAACCTTGGAAAAGTTGTCCCTCAGTATGGAAAAAACCCCACAGCCCTGGGTCTTTCCCCACCAACAACCATTAAGTTACTGGCTCCAGCACAGACATTACTTGCAATAGGTAACAGATTGTCTGCATTTGGCAGCCCTTCTCTCCCATTAACATCCCTGCCTCAGACCACGAACAGAAGCCAGACTGTCTTGGTGCACCAAGAGACAGCAAATGCATCGACTTCATTTAGCAGGGTTCGGTAATTCACAGAGTTTGGAGATTTTGTTCCTTGCTCACCGCTGTTATCTGCAGACGTGTGGGGCAGTGGTGTCTCTTTGTACTACGTAAATCATTGCATTTGCCTTCATTGGAGAAAGTTCAGGCAGTCAAGTTCACGCAAGACCACGTTTTTTTAGGGAGTTTGGAATGGCAGCTGGGAAGCTCGTACAAATTATATTTGCAATGAAACCTCTCAGATCTGAGGCAGCTGCACGGTGACTCAGCTCCTGCTAATAAAAAGTTCTTATTTCTAGCAACAGCAAAACTCAGTGCCTTGAAAAACATAAGGCTAAACGTGTAATGGAGCAGCAAATATTCTCATCACGGCTATTTCACCAGGGTGCCCAGAATGAGGCCATACATCTTCTTTGAAGGAGGTGGGGGAAGCGATGCTCGCCGAGCGACTGGGCGGCACCATGTCTCCCACCTGCCTCCCACTGCAGCATTTTATTTTTCAAATGCAGGGGAGGGTGCAGAAGCAGCACAAGGGAATCACAGCTTTTAACAAGAATAGTCTGTCTCAGCCTACACGCACACTACTGGGTAAAACAAAAAGACCTGAAACAGAAAGGGCTTGCAAGAAGGGAAATGCTCAGGAGGGTTCCCCGGAGCAGCCCTGCAGCCCAGCCCAGTAATATGTCGCAGGGCTGCTCACAAGAAGCGGCTTCTCAGCCTCAGCCCTCTTCCAAACAGCAACAACGGCTCTTGGGCAATGTTTGTGTTATTCAGCTTACACAGTTCTCCCTTCCCTCCCATCTGCTTCTCTCCATGACTTTTTTCGACAACTATGCTGGGTCTGTGGTGTGAAAAAAGGCAGGGTCTTAGACAAGACTACCTAAATTTAAAAAATAGAGTTATATATAATGTTATTTTTCTTCAAGACAAAAATCAATGCCCATATCAAGCAAGGGATGAATAGCTTGCTAATTGTTTCACCTGTTTGTGCAGGCTGATACAGCCCATGCCGCAGGGCTGTTTGGAGTAACTGAATGTAAATAACTGAATTTAGGCATCAAAAGCATGTAATTCCATCAGTGCTGAGGTTACAGAGATTTAAGGTTGTTCATAGCATACTCAGCCTCTCTGTGTCACGTAATTTCTTCAAATTAATAGCAGAATGATAGCAGTCTTACTTAAAATACAAAATAGCCATTACTGTACCACATATGCCTAGCTGTTGCCCAGCACGTTGGTTAGCACGGATGTACGTGCCTGACCCTCATTGCTAGATATGCACACACACCTGCCCGAAACATCGCTGAAAACTTAACTAACGACACCTGCAACAGATGCTTATCCTTGAAATTCTGCCAGTAAGGTTTTGGAAAAGTTACATGGCCTTTGCAAAGCTGAGGCTGTGGGGGAGGGTGGGTTGGCTATAGGGTTCACGCTGAGGTGTGTCCAGCAAGAATTCATCTACGGCTTTCAAACTATTCCAAACTCCAGACAAATGGGTAACGAAGCGACCCTTGAGTAGGAGACAGAAACAGTGGGCAGGAGTAACAACCGTGAATTAAGGAATAAAGTTTACTTTCTGACAGCATCCTGCCAAGAGAGCGCGGGGTGCTCCAGAGACGTCACCAGCTGCCACCCTGGGGAGACACTCTGAGCGCTCATCACTGTGCGAACACAAACAGCCTTCACAGTACGCCTTCACAGCATGTTTTGCTTCCACTTTTTGTTTTGTGATGGCTCTCTGATGATAAGAAACAGTATTGCTCTTGGAGCATCAATTAGAAATGCCCCATTTTGGGGTGTAGGTGGAAAAATTGGAAATATAGATTGTTTCAAAAGATGGTGCCAGCTGTAATGGAATTACAGCCTCTTTCTGTCTCAACGTAGAGACACAGTGAGGACAGTGACTCTTCATTTTCTTGTTCCCCAACAATGGCTTATTTTTTGCTGCAAATCAAGTAACGGGAACTTCTATTTCTCTTATGCTTTAGGGATAATCTACCTTTTCCTCTTGAAGGATGTGGAGCGAAGCGCATGCACTTTCTCTGGCAGCCAGCACTCTCAGAGTTAGCTCTGTGTGATCTGTCAGGAATTACAATCTGACTTGTAAGTAAGAGCCATCTATTTCAGGTAAAGAAACACTTTATCTTTCTGAATCTAACTGCCATGGCATGGGATGTAGGTCCCTGTTTATCTCATCAGAGCTGTGCTGTAGCGTAAGTGCTAGTCTCAGATCTGTGCTCTGCTCTCTGCAAAGACTCCCAAGTACCTCTCCTTACCGCTACAGAAATTTTCACCCTCTTCTCCAGAGACACCAAAACCTGAACAGCAGGCACAGAAGCTGAGCTGGATAAACTGGTAGGCTGTTTGTTTTCAATGTAGTGCAGCAGCTGTATTCTCAGATTGATGTCACTAGGGTCACTCATTTTTAAGAATGGAGGAGGAAGAATCTTTTCCCCTAAGCCTCCAAGACCAGTCCACACCAGCGATGGAGCATCATTCCAGGATGATTTTCCATTTTATTAGGGATCCTTCAAAACCTTGTTGGAAATGCAGAAACATTTTGATGAGCACTGAAACTGTTTTGGAAACAAAATACTTTGCCTCTGAGACATGGGAATTATAACCCTAATACTGCTTGGAAATCTGATGGATACTGATAACTAGGGAGAATAAAGCATCCCAGCGGAAATGATGGCTTGCAGCACCAAAGTCTGCTGAACAATGTGCAGCACTTCGGATGAAAAATCAAAGTTTAATGGCCATGTATCTTCCCTGAACACGTTGTCCCCAGGCCTAAGGAAGGAACAGTCTGGAATTTATTTAAGCCAAATTCCCCTGCAAGACACTTCAAATTTTCAGTGAAGACAGGTCAAGAATCAGCAGCTCAAGGTTATTCAAAAGAGAGAGCCTTCAGCGCAGAGGTCATATCGAGGTCTCAGTTAGCAGCTCCTATCCTGCTCTTGTGAAATGATCCCTGAGCTGGCAGTGCATATTACAGCCGAGAGCTGCCCCGACTGGCAGCGCTCATTCCTAAATGGGGATAAGAAGCACCTTCTATGGTGGTGAAGGGTCAAGGCTTCTAACAGCTTGTCATAAAACAGTCAATCTGTTTTAGCAATAAGATTTAGAATTATCCACAGGGGATTAATCCTCAACAAAATGGAACTCTTCTGAAAAAAAAATATCACCAATCAAATATTTCGCACTGAATCAAAAAGTCATTGAGGTTGGAGGCACCTTTGGAGATTGTACCATCCAAACCCCTACTCAAAGCATGGTCGATTAGAGCAGGTTGCCCAGGACCATGTACAATCAGATCTTGCATATCTTCAAGGGCAGAGACTCCACACTCTGGGCAACCTGTGCCAGTGTTGGATCACATTCATAGGAAAAAAAAAAATTTCTTATGTTTAAATAGAATTGCCTCTATTTCAATTTGTGCCCATTGCCTCTTGTCCTGTCCCTGAGCATCTCTGAGGTCTATCTTCTTTACACCCTCCCTTCAGGTATTCATATACACTGGTGAGGCCGCACCTCGAATACTGTGTTCACTTTTGGGCCCCTCACTACAAGAAGGACGTTGAGGTGCTGGAGCATGTCCAGAGAAGGGCAACGAGGCTGGTGAGGGGTCTGGAGAACAAGTCTTCTGAGGAGCGGCTGAGGGAGCTGGGGTTGTTTAGCCTGGAGAAAAGGAGGCTGAGGGGAGACCTCATCGCTCTCTACAACTCCCTGAAAGGAGGCTGTAGCGAGGTGGGTGTCGGTCTCTTCTCCCAAGTAACAAGCGATAGGAGGAGAGGAAACAGCCTCAAGTTGTGCCATGGGAGGTTTAGGTTGGATATTAGGAAAAGTTTCTTCACTGAAAGGGTTGTCAAGCACTGGAACAGGCTGCCCAGGGAAGTGGTTGAGTCACCATTCCTGGAGGTATTTAAAAGATGTGTAGATGTAGTACTTGGAGACATGGTTTAGTGGTGGACTTGGCAGTGTTAGGTTAATGGTTGGACTCAATGATCTTAAGGGTCTTTTCCAACCTAAATGATTCTATGATTCTATGAGATCCCCTTGAGCCTTCTCTTCTCCAGGCTGAGCAGTCCCAGCTCTCTCAGCCTCTCTGCTCCAGTCCCTTCATCATCTTTGTGGGCCCTTGCTGGACTCTCTCCAGTAAGCCCATGTCTCTCTTGTCCTGGGACCCCAGCTGTGTCTCACCAGTGCTGAGCGGAGGGGCAGGATCCCCTCCCTCGACCTGCTGGCCCCGCTCTGCCTGATGCAGCCCAGGAGGCTGGTGGCCATCCTTACAAGGGTGCATCATCTGAAACACTGTGTCGTGATTAGGTTTGATTCGTCTGGGCAAATCACCGTGTTGTAATAACCCCTTTCCTAACCCAAAGTAATTTCTAAGACCACAAACCTTCAAAAACTCATTCAAGTAGTTACCTCATCAATATTCATACAATAATCATGTGCTTAAATAATTGAAGTCCTAGAATATCATCACTCATTAGGTTTTTCTTTTCATTATCCTCATGTGAAGAATTTCAGTGACAGAGTTCACATCTGGGGAATCAAATAGTATATATTTGCTGATTTCATAATTTATTTCTTGTATGCATGTTGCATTGTTATGTGTTTCATAACATTTTCTCATTATGAGGAATTAAAATATTGCATTTAGAAGACATGTATGAGCGTGCATTCAAACACATGGCTGATGTTATTAATTTACTATTTTTCTGTCAGTCTGCTCTTTAAAGACAGAATAATATGTAATTTTGTACAAAGCCATTCAAAAGTAGATAATTTTGAACATTAGCTAAAATGATGGTAACTGTACTTTTTAACATTAGGGAACAAAAGTGATATTGAGCTATTTTGGTTTTCGACAACTAGGTGTCCACATTGCCATGAACAAATCCCATGTAACTATGATCACTAATCATCACTGTCACCATCTTCACCTGTGGGTCAGCTCCTTCATCAGCCAGCATTATACATGTCGATTCAAGAAATTACACATAAACAAGAAAGGGCAATCTCAGCAAAAAGCTAAGGACACAGACACTCGCTGAAAAGGTAGCCTAGGAAAAAAACCAAAATCGCACCAATGAGAGGTCACTGTTTTGTGGACAGACGTCAGCCTCTGTGGCTGTTTTTCTTATACATTATCCCAACCCTAAGGTATTCCAGAAAAACTCTTTGACCCTTTATGTTTGTAACTTTTTTCATCACTGTCTCATACGAGAAATAGTCTGGTATATGTCCATATAGGGCAGTTTATATTTTTTTCACTAAGCATGGCATGGCTCAATCGCTTCCTTCCAATGAACAGCCAAGCTCCCGCTGCAATGTAGATCCAGGAGAATTTAGACCTGGGGCTGCGTTCACGTGCTCAGCAGTGCAGAGACAACTAGCCAAAAACTAAGTGAACCTGTCTGCTCTATTTAAAACCTGAACTCTGCCCGGAGGCAGGCAAAGGTTTCCCGAAGCAACCACCAGAATGCACTGTGAGGATGTGTTTGATCTTGAAATACATATAAAAATACATCAAATCAGGTCAGTTTGGCACTGGAAAGCCTCTTGACACACTGGTAAGCACCAAGTACCCCACAGGGATTTACAGGATTTATAAAAATTGGCCGTCTATTGTTTATACTTTTATATTTTCCCACACCTTTTTTTCATACTAGATAAAGAAATTAAACGTGTGTGTTGAAAGAGCTATGACTAAAAATAGACTTACAAATACACCTTGAAAATATATACTCCCACAGCTTGTGAGCACACAGGCTGTGCCGCTCCAGCTGCCATCACATGAGGAGCGCTGCTGCTATTTGCTTTATCCTGAATCTAGCGAGGACTGACTCAAAACACTGTGTTAGTATCAGGCAAAGTCCTTGCAAATATCACCTTTTCTGTTTTCATGCTCTAAAGTTCCCTGCTCAAAACCTCATGCATGCACGGAACACTTCCCAGCTGTAAGAGGGGCTCCTGCTAGCGTGCTGATTAGAGGAAAACACAGTTTTACAGCAATTAGGACGCTATCAGGCACTCCTCTTGCCAGCTTTGGTTGCAACTGGCCCTTGCAGGTGTTGGCAGTCCTTCCGTGCTTTTGTTTCATACAAGTGAACATTTCTCCTGCTATTTCTCCCAAAGTGAAAAGGCAAGGTCATTGGCTTTCTCTCACCTATGTGCTGTCCATACATGTGATAGTAGAAGCTAAAACAATAGGCCGTGTTTGTAGCTCCATAAGGATTTTTTGGAGCGACGCTGAAAACAGGACTAACAAGTCTGGCCTTTTCTCCTTCCAGCCTGGGGCGTGACGTCTCAATGTACATGTAGAAACCTAGGGAAAGTCCAAATGGAAATTGTTAGGTTGCAGTCTTCAAAATCCAACACATATACGTACAGGAAGACACCAGGGCTATCGAGCATTTGATTAATTTTTCACATTCATCTGACATCACCGTGGTTTCTGGGACACATTTCTTCTGCATTAAGCCCATGTGTTTTCCACAACTGCTTCAAAGACATGTTTTCTACCAAGAGTAAAGCCAGGGCTAGCAGGTCAGTACTCGTAAGTAACTTCAAATCAATGTAACATTGTATATGCACAAGAAAAGAAAAAAATCTTTATGATGGGGTTCAGACTTCAGTCTCAAGGTTGCAATTTGTGCCTGTAAGCAGTGAGCGGGGAGGACTTTTAAAATAAAGGGAAAATATCTTGATGGAAACCTTTCAAGGAACATTTTCAAGTGGCCATGTCAGTCACATGTTTGAAAGCTCACTTTCACGAAAGAAGACAATATTAATTTATTCTGATCCTGGATTGTGCCAACAACAGAGATAGTATTTACTTAATCCAACCAAGCAAATACAATGCAGTATGATTTTTTTCCCCTTTGGTAGTGCAAGCAAGGGGCATACAGTAAAACAGCATGAGTTACTGCAGTACTTGAGAAATCCAGCACAAGATGTCTGACTTTTCAAATGCAAATATACACTGCAGTCAAGACGGCATGCTTCTGTTAAGCGGGGTAGCAGATTGAAAATTACTTTAGCAACACCCAAAGTAAAAATGGGGCAAAAAAAAAAAATCTCATTGTGACAGTCTGAGAGAGCCCAAGTTAGAATTTAAATGACATAAAACAGAAGAATATGTCAAGATGTGCCACAGTATTTCCCCACTAGACTCTAAGGTGAAAGCAATCGCTTTGAAAATGGCACAATAGAAACAATACAAGATGGTTAATGGCACCGTTAGTGGGTCGTGCTTTGGGACCAGCCGCACGCCTCAGCACTGGCAATTTCTTTTAGAAGTCCTTGAAGTATGCTTATTCTAGGAAAAACGACGTAGCCGGCTGAATGGCTGTCCTGGACAGATCCCTCACCCCAACGGAGCAGCAGAGCTCCCAGTACTGGGGGACCAGGCACACGGCTGGAGCTTACCTTCCTTGGAGCCAGTCCGATCTGCGTTTGGCCCAGTGTTCGGGGTATATTTTGTGTCTCTAGTGGCAGTGCTTTGTTTTGTCCAGTCAAAATTGTCCGTGTCATCTTGAGTGAAAAGGCAAATGTTACCATCCTCAAAGCCACAGTGGAACTCTCCTGCCAATGCAGCAAACGAGCAGAAATTTAGTGGCTGAAACTATTCATCCTATGCTTGTTTGTCAAAGTACTTGTCAATTATAACAAACACATTGTGAAATGATGCTTATTAACAGCACTGGAAAATAGACGTACATTTATTTTACATCAGTTTCTAGAGTTTAGTGTATGTTTTCTTTTGCAGTAACCTCAATGAAAATAAAATCATGGTCATCAGTCTGTGTTGATTGATATGTTACTTGAAATTATATTCAAATCTTATTGTATAGCTCCTCCTCACATACTCACCTGTATACAGTTGCCCTTAGAGACATTGTCTCTTCTTACCCAGCTGGCATTTCTAAAAAGCTGAGAAGAACAGGCAGCATGTCCATAAAACTTTATGTGGGGGAAAAAGTGGGAAGTGGGTTATTTTGGTTTAGGGATAAGAACATTAGGGAAAAGAGGACGTCAACTTTTCAAAATGAAAACATTATCTCCGAGTGACATCTCCTAAACTATTCTTGGTTTTCAATAGGGATGGAAAGCAAGTAATGGCTAAAATGAGAGCAAAGGAGCTGCGGCATAGACATGAAGAAAATCTCTAAAAATCAGGACAGTGAAGCACATGAATGGATTGCTTGGGAAGAGCACTGAACGCCCATCACTGGATTATAATAACTAATTAGACAAATACCTGGGAGGAAGGTTTAGGTCTATCTGAACCTATATGGGCACGACAGGTGACTGTATCATGTCCTGAAGACATCTCCTAGACTTTCACTAAGATTCCTGTTACGTACTTGAGGTCAAGCGGTAAAAGCTTAGGTCTAAAGAATAAAAACGCCAAGAACCCCAGACAGGATTAGTGGGATCCTCTCCTTTGCGAAACAGAGGTCCATGAGACACACCAGTCCAGTGATCCTACCTGCTGGGTTATGATGGGATGAGAAAGTCGTACTGTCAGACATTTAGGAACCAAAACAAATCAAAACTTCAAGGTTCAGTTTTAATCTCAGAACAGAATAAGGCCCCATGTAGTACAATGTGCAAAAGCTTAATTTTATGCACATGAACAGTTCCCGCCGAGTTTACTCTTCCAGCAAAGTCAATTGATTTATCTGAGAAAACAAGCAAATCTCTCTTCTCTAGGGAGAATGCAGCTGTCTGCATACTGTGTCAGCTATGGCCTTCTTTATAGGGGTGCAATTTATATTCATTGTTATGAGGAACTCTAACACCAGGCGTCATGGGATTATTCATCTGTGTTAAATTGAAAAGGTATATAAATGCTTGCAGGTTTGGGGTTTCGGTGAATTATAAATCCACTTAAGCCACTGGAGCTTCACTGTAAATCAGTGAAGACAGAGGGACCTGGAGCTTAGCTTGGGTATGCACTGCTAAGCAAGGATGCTGGTCTGAAAGTTATTTAAAATCAGATAATACCGCAGACTGAACAAGCAGGCTTGAAAAATTCATTCCAAACCACAAGGTGCATTAGGAGTGCTTTCCAGGTCCTCCTCATTCTGTTTCTGCCCGTCCAAAGACCAACACAAACTGTACCCCCTCCACAACAGTCAGCATAAAACACCACTCTATAAAACCAGGTCATCACAAAGATGCAGTCCATAGAAACTTCCTTGGCCATTAGCACCTCATGCAGATTGACTTGATTTCTCAATAAATCCATCAACTTTATTAGATCCTCCAAGAGAATCAATTTCCTGAATCACAGTTCCTTAACTGGCAAACATGACTGATAACCATTGGCATGATGGCAAGCCAATTTCAGGACCTTGCACCTCAGTTTGGTTCTGGAAGCAAGGACTTCTGAATCCTGAATTTTCAGTGTTGAAGAAGTGGCAATATAGAAAATCATTCAATGGAGGAGCATCATCATGGGCGTCGCAGAGAAGGAATACAAGTAGAAGCCTGATTGTGGTTCTTCCTGAGAGACAAGCAAATCAAAGAACGAGGCCACAAGGAATACACATGCATGGATTACATCCAAAATCCTTCGACAGAGAAGCATGTGAATAGATGCAGACGGACACCTCCATCCTTATCCTGAAGACCAGGAAGATAACGCAAAGACCCTGACAAAGCCCTTGAAAGACACAAGGACTCGAATGAAGCACTCTGAACAAAATGCCAGCTGTGCCTCTCATCTCCAAGAACAACTTTTACACGACTTGAGCTCAAAATCTGCTTGGTTTACACTATATTCTGTGCATTTGACTTCCACCTCCACTTATACAAGCCCTTGCTTATCGCAAAAATGGTGCTGCTTCTACACAGTGTGATAAAATTAAAGGGCAAAATGGTAACTAAAGGAGAAAAGTTCTGAGTACCAGATCCAGTCCTGCAGCGAAGTGAATTAACACAAAGCATTTTCAGCCATTCAGCAGTTTCTAACACTGCTCCTCCAGTACCTTAAGAGCTGCATTTGCATGTCGCACCATGCCCTCAGAGCTTCATTAAGAAATTCCACATCAGCAGAACAAAAGATTTTTCTTCAAGTTAAAAAAAAAAAATATTCAGGCCAGATGAAAAAAGGCGAAGTAAAAGTTTGCCATTTATTTAATAGGAAAACACTGGTTTCATGTGGGACTCTGCCATTTGGAATACATTGGAAAAGGTTAGTGCTAAATATTCTTGGCACTAAACACTTCTGAAAATATGACAGAAGAATAAAAATGGGAAATAGTTCCCCAGGATTAGCTCAGTACCTTTCTTACGCAAGAAGTAGGAACATTTAAATAGATCTGGATGGTCCTGACCTGTTCATTAAGGGGCACACCAAGTGGAGGAGGAACAGCCGGCCCTTCCCCAAGCACCCATGGGTGCTCCAGCTCATGACACCGCTCAGACCACGACCGTTTGCTGAAAGCACTAACAATGGTGCCAATTACTATTAAAGATAACGGCCAATTTTTGTCGAAGCACATGCCAGCTCTGGAAGTGGATTCAAGTTATTAATAACTTCATTGCCAATTAGGGCAAAATCTGAAACTGTTCTCAAGGTGAAACACACTTCATTGTAGTATGAATTTTTGTAATCTGTTTCCATAAAATTCAAGTTGAATATGACTCTCTAACATCTAATCTCTTCTATTATTCAGGTGTAACATCTAGTTGCACTAATTGACATGAAATCCTTATGGTTTACATTAAATGGTTTATATTATACGTTACAAAATAAAATGTAGATCTGAGGCTACATCTCAGTGTTTAAGTCCTTCAATGCTACTTGCTTATGTATTGCAGACATCTTATAAAAAGGAAGGACTTATGCAATGTGATTATTCCAGAATTGAAGCAGGAAGAACGTGACTTCAGTTTCCAATACAGTGTCTTGTCCCAGTTGAATACAGCTCTTACTCTTCATTCACAATGGTGTAAATAAAAGCAGAATTCAGCCCAACAGGTTTAGAAAAAAACAGAACTTGGTTGATGTTATATAGTATACATCATCATCCATTCTGTATTTTCAGTGAAATAAAATCAGATTATAGAAAGAATGGATAATGATGAGATTGAATTTGTTGTGGAAGACAGAACCTCTCTTCTCCAGCTTACTGGTTTGAACCAATTTGCAGACCAAGATTTCTTCCCTGTCAAAGGATTTCACTCAAAAAGTCTTTGGGGAAAAAAGCAAACCAAAATGTTACCATTTCTTTACTCGTCTGAAAGAAATTACACTGGGTACCCTACAGTTCTGGTAGGCAAACTCTCCCATCGCCACCAGTGCAGAGAGCAGCAGACCTAGAACGTAGATGAAGTAAACGGCGGACAGGTTGCCAGAGATGCCCTCCCTCCCTCGAGCTAACACACTCCCTATCACAAGGGCAATTTGGATGCCACCTGCACTCTACCATGCGCCTACTAGAGCCGTTGCTTTTATCTGAGCTATAGACACATTTGGAAAATTAGACAGTTTCAGATCTTAAAATCATAGAGGACTAGTGTGAAGCACTTGGGATTGCAATGCATTTTTTTCTTAACATCATAGAGTACATATTTAATATATTAATTAGCAAGGGTCTCATCTACTGCTCATTTAAGTCAATGGGAGTGGTTCCTTCAGCTCCTGTGAGCTTTGAACTAAGCCCTGATTAATTGTTAATGCATTGCACAAGATCTTCCACAAATGAGTTTAAAATTTACAGAAAGGCTTAGCCGTCGTGTGTGAGAGATGGAGAGAGAGAGGGGCTGCTCGCCCAGCCCGGTGCTGCTTTTCTGCCCGATTATGGCTGCGCTACAGCAGTAATAACGGCAGACAGAATCCCATTCCCTTTATTTTTGTTATTAAAAGCAAGAGTAATGGCTGAATACATTCCCACAGCAAAACATTCATTCACTGTGGTGTGGAAGAAAATCATGAAGTAGATAGATGTGGGGAGTGTCAGGAACAGGGCGGTTTTACTGGGACATACTAAAGCTCCAGCCCAGCCTCCTGTCTGCGACATCTGTAGGGATTTGGTGCCCACGGAGAAGTGTAAGAACAAACTGTAAGAGAAGTCCTTTCTCCCCTGCAACATCCCCGTGCCCGAGCACCAGCACATTAGCGAATGCATAGTCGGAGTTTGCATTTTCAATCATGCCTGTGGAGCTGTCTCCTGTGAATTTGTCTAAACACTTTCACACCCTAGTTACACTTTTGGTCTCCACATTTCTCTGTGCAAATGAGGTCCATGCTTCCTGTACGAAAAAACATTCTTCTTTTGGTTTTAAAGCTGCAGATAAGCTTCTGACTACCCTTGGAAGTATCAAAATAACTCAAGAACTGCAAATGTAGCTCTCATGCAAGGATAAATGAATTCAGAAAATTTCATAAACTGACCTTTCCTTCAAGATTTTTACCATACCTGTTGAGGCGCAGACACAGTTCCTACACAGTACTTGAACTTTCAGCTATAGTCCACCAGTATTTAGCTACTCCCACAACTAAACCACAGCATCACCCATACACACTGAGCTGCAACGCCCACAAATGGCTGTTATTTCAGAACATTAGTATTTTCCTTTAGATGAACTGTTTGGGTAGTGGGAAAGAAAGATGAGCTGGAGCTTTAATTTTTCCTTTCTCCATCTACTCTTGCTTTAGCGCCTTGGCAGAACAAGAGGAATGACACCTTCAGCCGCCAGCCCAGCCTGCATGCACAACTAAGGTGGTGCCTGCAATCCACAGGCTGCAACTGAAAGTGAAATACTTATCATTTGCTTTTTAATTGTAAGGGACAACGGGTGCAAGGACAATTCTTCATACACACAAAAGCTAAAAAGATAAAGAAATACTTACGTAGATGTGGATTTACTGGAGCTGGAAGACAGAGCAAAAATGAAATTAGCACTTGAAGAAATTCTAATTCATCAATATTCAGATTATCCTAAATTTCCCATTGTTCCCTCCCCCTCAAGACCTTGATCATGGCTCCTACAGCGAGACAGCCAGCAAAACCGGTAATTTCCTTTCTGAGCAAATTTTGTGGCTCCCTGGCAATCCAAAGGCAACGATTTCAGTGCGAAATGATAGCCTCTCCCATCCACAATGTGTACGCTCCATCACTAGTACCTGCAGCTTGGGGAACAAGATGCTGTAATTAAGCATCAAACTTAGATTACTGGCGCAGATATTGTAAAGATGGGGACAGCTGCACAGCAAAACTCCAGGGTGATGCCTTTATACAGGAATCCAACAAAAACTACAGAAAGGATGAATTCATTCAAAGCAAGAGGTTCTGCATTGGACCTTGCTCATCACTTAAAATTTCCTTTTGGCATTGTTCAAGAATACTTAACATAGTGAATTACCCTTCTAATCAATGAATAATACTATTCTTCAATTTAAGATGTCTGTGTACATATGAGTCTTTAAGAAACAGACAGCGCTTGCATTCTTCTTAGAAAGGCCAATTTTCTTTTTAAATAGCAGAAGAAGTAAGCACAGCAAGTTTGTGAGAAGAGGTTTGATCTCATTAGACCAAGAGACACAACCAAGAAAAAACGTGAATCTTCTGGCACATAAACCCTCTTCTAGGGAGGATATACTTTAAAGAAATTTAAGAAGATGACCAAGGAAGGTGAAGTGTGCTGTCCTAAAAAGCTGCCAGCAGCGCCAGCGTACCCCGTGCCTCCTGGAGGAGCCACATTCAGCGACCAGGACAGGGACCCACCAGCATGACTGGGTCCTAGATGTTGCTCTCCTGGGGCTGTGCTCTCAGAGAGAGGAGCATCAGTGCAGCATCCCACCTCTCAGCATCCCACCTCTGCCCACTCCCCATCCCATGGCAGGAGCAGCCCATGCTGACCCCTCACCGTGGGAGGCATCAAAAATAATTTTGCCAATATTGCAGAGAAGCCTTGAGATAACTTTGCTGAAAAACATTATTTCTGTGTGTCCTTTTACGGGTCTGTGCAATGCCCCAGGTGACATGGCAGGACTATTGGGTACGGGGAATCTTTGGGGAAGCTGATAAAACTGGCACTCTTATTTCACAGACCCTTGGCAAAATTACAAAAACCTCCACATCCATAATTCTTTAATATTGAAGTTCATCTACTTAATACCTTAATAGGCTGAAACACAACAAAAATCCCACCTCAATAGTGCCTACAGATATCTTAACCATGGGAATGGCTAGCCAGGTTTAGGTCCAGAGTAACCTGGACAATGCTAAACATGGGAAATGGGTTTGAATGAGAAATTAGGCTGCGGTTCTGTGCTACCTGTTTGCAGAAGGGTAAATTTGAGGATGGATGACTTAGGAAACAGGGCCCTTCTGCTATAAGCCCTTACGCATGTGAGAAACAGAAGGATGCTAAGCTCACGGTTGGAATTGCATGTTATTAACAGAAAATTTGAAATAAAATTTTATCGCCAAATAATGGGTACATCTGGTAATGCCAGACTTCAGTATGAGTGTTGCTCCACGTTTTCTTGCTGCCCTTCCCGCGCCATGTTTACAGACATGAATTTTTGGTTTGTGACCCCAGCCACGGATTCTGTGTAGCTCTAGATTCAATCTGAAGTTTTCAAAACAGCTCTAAATTAGCAACTCTGCCATTTCATCTTGCCTTCTCTGAAACAAATGAACAGTGCAACCTGCTTAAGAAACTTAGTCATTACATTGTATTAGATAACCTCATAGCTTTTACCAACAAATTACCCTTCATTCTCCAAGAAACATTCATTTTGTGAAATCCTTGAGTGATTGAACTTGGAATTAGCTGAAATTGCTGGGAACTAGATTTACTGATGCTTGATTTGTAACTAAAGGTATGGGCTTTTATGGGAACTATCATCAGCGTGTAACCTTGAGTCATGCTATTCAGATTGCTCACAGCAGAGCAAAAAAGGCTTCTTGCCAAACTAGCTTCAGTTCACACTGATTGACAAAAGCAGAAAAACAAATTAAAGCAGTTAGGCTGAACTTACCTAATCATAAACTAGGGAAAAAACCCACCACAACCAAACAAAAAACCAGAAAGCCCGCTCTTCTAAGTAATCCAGCACGCTGCTATAAGACAACATGTAATGGCTCTAGCTCTCACTGCGGAAAGGGAAGGTTGCTGCGTGCATGACACACAGGTAGCAAGTTAAATTAGCCATAAAGGGAAATTAACGGATGACTGAGGGAGTAAATTCCTGAGGCTGACTTTGAAACGTCTGGAAAATCTGTGCACCTCAGAGGGTTATCGCTGCTCTGCTCAGCTGACCCCGGCTCGTGCTGGGAGGAAGGTTTTGCTGGCGGAGAATCTCGGGAGGAGAACAAAGTGTCATGAAATGTTTGAGCTTGGTTAGAGCCAAGACGGATGATCCCTTAATCTTCCTGCCGTTCCTCCAGCGAGCAGAGAATAAAACCTGCTGGAATTTCAGTTTGTTGGATGATTTTACTTTTCGGTGATCTGTATTTGTGCAGGTCACAGCAGAAAAATGAGGGCTGAATGGTTTTTCTTAATGCTTGCCCTTCTATTAGGGGCAACTGCATATACGCAAAGACAGTTACATTTCCCACGGATCCTTCCCATCACAAACACTTGTTCAGCTTGCAAGTGAGGTGTCCTTCAGAGACTGCAACATTACGTCCCTCCTTTAAAAAAATAGCTGCAAACCAAGCTTTCCTAACTACGAAGAACATAAAGCCAGAGGGAAGTAGAAGCATGCTATATGTTCAGCTGCTATGTTTCTTACCACTGGAAACTGGTTACTTGTGGTAATTACAACCAGCCCCTAAAAGCTTTAATCAAGATCAAGAGTCCGTACCTCTAAGCACTTGGTTTGCACAGGAAATGCAATCTTCACTGTAAATATTGGTACTCTACAAGGACACGGCTTTCTTCCTCCCATAATAGCAATCATCCTAACTTACTATTTATAACACTGGATAATACTGGAAATGTATGCCTGTGCAAACTTACAAATCCTATCATTTATGCCCTATTTTGTACCAATTTTATTTTTCTGGGGCTAGAAATATAATAACAACAAGAATAATAGCAATAAATAATAACCACAATTATATACCCTTCTTCCATACAGAATCTGGGGAGTCTCTAATCCTCATATGAAAATAAGCAAGCTGGACTACAGAGCGACTGGCCATCATCATCTATCTGCCACTGTCGCAAGGGGCTGACTCTACATACCAATAGTAGTAACGGGTTGTTGGCTTTTTCCATAGAAGGGAGTTAAAACTTGCTTCTTTAATCACTGGTTAACTTTAAAAATATTTAAACCTAAGTGCGTATCTAAAACTGCGAGTGCTAAAGTTTTAATTGGAGGAGTTGGAGGACTTTACAGCCAGTTCATATCAAATAGGCTCACAGAGATTTATCTAAAGTGATGGAGATAATATTTAAACTGTTACTACGAGACACATCTGCTGTTACTACGAGACATATCTGTTTTATATTAGCCTACAAAACACTCATTAGTGCTACTTAAATTGCCTTGTTTGTATTTACTCGGCAGACTGTGTTCACTAGCAGAGTAACATATGTATCTACCAAAGAATTTGTCAAGTGATGTTTGGCTGTAATTATCAATGTCGCTCCTACTGTGATGATTGCTCTTTTCTCCTGTCCTTTCGGCATGCAGAGGAGAGAATAATTCATGGCAAGGGAGGGATTACCCTATGAAATGCTTGCGCTATGGGTAAGGTTTTGATTCATGGGATTGGATGCTGCGGAGTTTTTATTTTGTATTTACAGCTCCCACTTGGGATGGCAGGGTATACTGTAAAGAGCTCATTACTGAGGTTTTCCTGCTTTAACAGTCTCCTTATTTTGGACATTCAGATGGCTACCAGGCTAGCACACTGGAAGCTGTTATTTTTATCTATTAGCAATTTCCACGTTAATCTCCAGTTGTGGGTTTTAATTTAAAAATGTGCTCTGCATCACGTACAAAGGAGTGTAACCCAATAAAAATGACTTCACAGGTAGGATTAATGTGGCTTAACTTTAGCGATCTAGAAGTTAGACACCTCATCTAAGAGTGTTGTTGGAGTGTCTCTAAAGTCACTGGGGAGATATGGGCATGTCCAGAGGGTGATTAATCCCCTGGAAGAAATCTGGAGACACCTTTTCCTCTCTAGGAAGGCAGCAAACGCAACCAATACACTAGAAATGTCATGTTGATCCTTACACACTTTACAACTATTCTGAGAGATCATTTCTGTGCGGTACCTACCCAAGATTGTCCTACTACAAAAGACAAGCTTAAGCTGTCAAAATAAAATCTAGGTAGTGCATGGCCTATCTGTCCTCTACTTGCACAAAAATGAAACTCAACTGTAAAAGTTAATGCATTTCTTAAAGGCAAAAGACACTGCTGCCATTTTTAGCAACTCTATGACGTGTCTGATCTGTTTTCCACACCGCATTTCTTTAAAATGGGGTGAAATCTTATTAGCCTGCTTAAAGTTTAAAATAAATAAGGGAAAAAATGTTTGCAATGGGAATCCTCACCAGCAATACAAATACATCGGTGCATTTTAAACCTAAGAAAAAAGCTTTTTTACTCTAAGGGTGATCGAGCACCGAACAGGTTGCCCAAGGAGATTGTGAAGTCTCCATCCTTGGAGATACTCAAGACCTGAATGGACACAGCCCTGGGTCCTGGTCCTCCAAAAAGAGTATTCCTAAAGTGGTGGAATGAGAAAGAAGGGCTGATGCTGCTAGAGGCCGGTGTACTTCGGGGGTACTGATCAAAACCGAACACACAGAGGCACACGCACGCACACACACAAAATCCCACTGAAAAGATGAAAATTCAAATGTTTTCCTCCTTGCCTGAGGTCTCACAATTAAAAAAAATGTAATGGGAGAAAAATGTAAAAAATTATCTTAGTTCTCCTTTTAAGAAACATTCACATGATGTTTTTTATTTTCTGAGTAATGTTTATAATTATTTCTTACATCAATGCAGGCCTGCTGCTGTGTGTTCCGCTAGCCCATTAACTGCTTTTCTAAGACTCCAGCATTTCAGATGATAAGTATTGGATTTGCACTATAATAATGTACGTGGTATCATTATTTTATAGCTGAAGCTATAATATCCTTAAAATTAGCCTGGTAACAGTTTGCTGACACTATAGTCATTGAACGAATGCTGAGGTAAAATGTATATTTTAAGCACACAAAGCCTCAGCGGTTCTGGGATCCCTCTTCAAAGGGAAGTCGCTTTAGGTTTATCTTATTGATTAGCATCTGGCTCATGATTTCTGAAGCTGTGAATTTGCCGGCACCAGAGTAGCACTGAGTATTGCTCCAAAAGCATCTCTCCATCTGGGGCGCAAGGCAATGGCTTCCTCTCTCCCGGGCGGCTGGATTTTGCATTGGCACCTCATCAGCACGTTTGAAATGGGATGTTATTCACATCTGCGCTAATGGCAGATTCTAGCAGAAAAATTTGCAGTAGACAAAATATGCCTTTTATGCTGCATGGGAACGTTCTTCCTGCCAGCCAGGGGCTAGAAATGTAAATCACGTAATGTTGCATTAAAACCTCAAACTCAGCACGGTTGTGAGCCATAGCCGAGACCTCGGTCAACCTCCTGAGACTTGCCAGGGTACAACCACCACCAAAAAAGAGCAGTAGTGACTGAGTGACCTAAACGGTGTTTTTTTCTCCTTATAGGAGCACTGGTCAGCATTTAAGCCATTGGACAAATTTCGAGGTCCACGGAAGCAGGCAGCGGCTGCCTGGCACGAGCCGGTTGTGAGCACACAAGTCTCCTTATCACGGCCAGCACAGAGAGATCGGGATTGCTGCAGAGAAATCCCAAATGCCTGAATGAAGCTTCTGCTCCTGATCACCTTCGGGAAGACCCTGGGTCTTTCTCTTGTGTGTGCGGGGAGCCCCAAAGAGACCGGACTCCTACCGCTAGTGTCAGAAAACAGGCACTTATTAGGGTAAGGAGGCCCAACGAGGAGCCAAAGCCCAAGAGGAACTGCAGCTGAATGACCATCTTCGCCTCATTTGTATGTTCATAGATTTAGTAAACAAGTCCTTTTGACTGAAATTTTGTTCTCATGAGCTTTGGGAAACACAGACTTTGCAAACACTTTCCTGTAACAGGCAAAACCTCAGATTCATCCATCACCATCGTTAGCAGATCTGGCATTTAGTGAAATGTGCAACTACATTCTTTAGAATTGATGTTTAAGATTGCTTAATGTAATTTTTTCCCTTGATATTAACACAGTGATAAAAATAATTTTTTATGAGATTGAGTAGGGCTGAGCTAATCATTGATCATGAAGAATTGCACATAAAATGCACAAGACATTTAATTCTTTTTCAGATTTGTTCATTATTTTAAATTATTTGTTAATGATTTTTGAAAGTAATTCTTGAACTGTAGGTTGCTGTTGGGCATTCTGCTGCATGTGATTTCCTGCTTTGGGCTCTCTTAGGTATCTGTAAAGCACTAATTACTGTTGCAGCCAGCTCCTGGAGCAATTGGACCTACGTGGCTAGCTGTGACTTGACCTGTGTGTCACCTGGCTTTTGTCCTGCGGGATTAGGAAGGTTCCTCATCATAGTATCATAGAATCCTAGAATCACAGAATGGTTTGGGTTGGAAGGGACCTCTCAAGGTCATCTAGTCCAACCCCCCTGCAATGAGCAGGGACATCTTCAACTAGATCAGGTTGCTCAGAGCCCCGTCCAGCCTGACCTGGAATGTTTCCAGGGATGGGGCATCCACCACCTCTCTGGGCAACCTGGGCCAGGGTTTCACCACCCTCAGCGTAAATGATTTCTTCCTTAGATCTAGTCTGAATCTACCCCCCTTTAGTTTAAAACAATTAGCCGTTGTCCTGTCGCAACAGGCCCTGCTAAAAAGTCTGTCCCCGGATGATAAACTCGCACTTTCATGATTCCGTGCTTACAAATATCTCCCCCTGGCACACGCTTCCCTTTTTCAATTATAAAAACTTTCTGCTCAGCACACCAGGTTCCCATTGCAAACTGCACAATGATATCTTCAGTAAAGCTACCTTCTCTCTAAGGTACCTCTTGCCCATTCATTGTAATTTTTACAGAGGAAAAACAAAAAAGTGAATCAGTTATTCATTAAATAAATACCCTAAGAAAGGTATTCTGAGGGATTTTTCAGAGCTCTAAGAATTACTTCCTGGTAATGCTGGGAGACTGAATGAAAGGATGTAAGAATGCTGTATTTTTCTTGTTAGATTAAAGTGGACAAATCTTTGTCACGGCTTGACCTTTTAGAGGAAAATGTATAAATGCCCTTTTCCACTTACACAGGACTAGAAATGGTCAGTTCTTTTTTAAAAAAAAATCATTCACGTTCAAATAAAAACTTCTCAAAAAGTGCTCATTCTGGCGGAAAAAAAACGTATTTTGATGATATCAAAACAGTGATTTGACACCTTCAGAATACTACTTTTGTAGATTTTTCTTCAAAACTCATCGCCCTTCGAAGTGTTCTAAGTAAGAACAAACTCTTGAAATGAGCTATTTCATGAAGCTAACATTAATTGGTTCTATTTTTTTCCTTTATTTCACAGAAAATTCAATATGATTTTGCATTTTGGCTGTTCAGAGATTTTTTTTTTAATTTTTATTTTTATTGTGAAACTTCCCAGAGGTGGAGACTATCGTTTCTACCCCATTCTACCCAGAACCCTCCTTCCTGTAAGCCCACACTCGTCCCTTGCAGCATTATTTGCAGGACTGGCAATCAGTTTACACAGTGCAACCCAGCGCAGCCGTAACCTGTGCAGCAGACCGAATTGTGCAGAATGCACCGCAACGCATTTGCTTGTACACGAAGGTCTTCTTACCACTATACTTGATGACCCGAATAGTTGAGTCCCCCTCCCCAAATCTGGTGATGGGCGTTAGACGGACTTCATATGCCTCTGGCTTGATCAGCTCAGTTAGGTTGTAGGTAATTAATTCTCCCTTTTGAATATTTCCATTCACTGTAATTTCCTGTTCCCACCAACGCTGTTGTCCAGCCTAAAATCAAAAGAAGGATGCAAATGTCAGAGCTTTTGGGATAGATGTTGTCTTCACCGCTGAAATGAACCGGAGCACACGCAGACCTGTGCAACCCCGGGCGCTTCCTTAAACCTTCAAACAACCCCGGAGGATTAGAGACACAGCAAGAACGCGAACCTCCCTGAAATAACCCACTACTGAGCGTTTCTGTAACAGACAGATGAGATGACAGACTGCAAACTCATTTTACCAAGAGGCCACCCCTGCCTGCCATCTGCCTGTCCTCCTCTGCCCGTGCAGGTCCCGCACCAAACCTGGGGCAGCCCAACGGCTGCAGGCGCTGGGCAGCACTCGGAAGTTTGCTGCATGCAGGAAAAGCACAGTGTTAATTCAGTTCAGGAGCATTTCTGACGCTCACCAGACAGAGACTACAGCAAGGGACGAAGCGCACGATTTGTGATGGCCTGTAAGCACCCAAGCATCCAAGCAGATGCTGCGGCATTTTTCAAAATCTCACTGAATTCTTCCATCTTTAGGAGCCTGAATTTCTCCGCAGACCTGCCCCTATGTTTCAAACCCATTTGTTAAAATGTTAAATAATCTTTTTCTTCCTTAAAAAAAAAAAAAATGCTGTTCATTTCAGTTCATTTCATCAGCTTACCGAAGCTGAATTTACTAGCTCTCAAACGCTATCCCTTCAAACCTGACCAGGTAAATTGGCTCCTCGTGTCTAGTAGCCCCATGCTCTCCATGATTTTAAAATAACGTTGGCCAGCTGCGGTGGCAGACATGTTTTCTGCCACTGTGCACACCGGGCTCCGTGAGCTGGGTGCTGCCTCCTCGTTAGAGGCAATGAGGTTTCACAGCTGTCATTTGGGGCATCATTTGAAGCTAACAAGAGCATACTGAAGAACCGAAATGCAGTTTGATTTCCAAGCACTTACCACTTTTGTTGATGAGTGAGAAAGAAATAGGCTAGCCATTAATGGCCTTAGTGCATAATTATCAGCAATCCTTGTAGTCTCAAAGATGGATGGATTTCAGAGAACAATGAGTCAATATGAGCAAACAAGAGGCTGTTTTATTAAAAAAAAGCAAAGCATACATTTTTGTGCTTTATAGACTGCACAGTGTTTTCAGCATCAAAATCTATAGTTTCTTTTATTTATATGCCTTACCAAGAAATGAAAAGAAAAAAAAAATCTAATTAAGAAGAAGGCACCGCAAGAAGAGAGTGCCACATTGTGTCTAACATTACTTTAACTAGTTTATAGACAAGCAGAAATCATACACATTTTAGGCAGCAGAGTGACTTGACATTGCAATATTACTTGCAGATACTCTGCCTTATTACAGACACTAGCTGCAGAAAACAAAGGAAAAAATCATTAAATATTTACCACACATCCCAAGACAACTGTACAGGTGCAGTGATGCTAAAATGAGATGTTCCACTAAGCTTACTGAATTTCTTACCTATTACATGTTCACCAATACAGAGTTAATTAAGGATAGAAAACCTGTTATTCCAAAACTTTAATTTGCTGATGCAATAAAAATGTACATTGAAATTGCTGAAAGGTAGTACTAAATCTACCACATTTCATCCAAATAAACTATATTTGCAGCAATATTAACAAACTCCAAGCTTTAAATTCATAGCAGTGGGACAGAGATGTCAATACTTTTATCGTTAAAGCATGTTACACAAGTACAGCTATATGCCCATGAAATAAAACTCGGACTGCGAAGCAAAAAAGCAAGAGGAATTCTTAAGAAAGTTGGGATGATGGAACAGCTCTAGACATCAGCTTCGCTTTGCTGCCACCAAAGTCAGCGTGTGTTTTACTGCACTTTGAGCCTTTGCAGGGCTTGAGTTAGACCAACGCTGAGTGCATCTGAGAGGTTATTTCAGGGTTTCTGCTCTTGCACACGCTGGGTGAGCCATGCTATAGGCTCAGGTGGCTCTTCAGGGCTGGCCCTGCAGGGGTTAAGCCATGCATAGGAGAAACGCTAGGGAAAAAATCTCAGATTAGGTTAGAAATGCAAAAACAAGTTACCGCATGGAAAAACCACACTGCTGCCTGCCCGCCCGATGTGCAAGGCAGAGGTACGTCAGTTAATACAAATCCTGCACACGCACAGGCCCTTGAAACCCGGCCCTTGTACCAGAAAGCTTTTGGATGGACGCGTGGGTGCAGAGCAGGACGAGAGGTAAGCGCGTTGCTGAGGAGCCTGGGCATGCCAGCGCAGGGCCGGGAGCTGCGAGTTGCTGAGCCGAGATGCTGCAGCTCCACAACCTACAGTGTCTGCCCCGAGCAGCATCGCCTGAGTGTCTAGCCCAAAGCAGCATCACCTCTTCCCTGTTGCAAGCATTAAAATGACCCACTTCATAAGATGCTATTAATGAAATGTCCACCACAACTTTGTACACAGCCTGGAACTGTGGAGCATTCCTCTGTTAGTGGTTTTCCAAAGCCACTACACTACAAAGAGTTATTAAAGGTAATAAAGATACCGCAAATATGTGAATTTATATTGTATCTTTAAGAGATCATCCCAGTGGAGCTCATGAAAAATTTCAATTTGAAAGATGCTGTTAGATCCCATCTCTTTCACAGCTCTTTGTACCTAAGTACTGAGATCAACAAAAGGGACAATGAAACCCAAGGTACAGGTTGTTTAACAGAAATTCAGTCATTTCTCCTTCTCTCTTCTTTAAATACCCATGAATAAGAACATGCCACAGACACCTGCTTCACCCAGGCTTTGCAGTGTGTTACTCTGACGTCCCACAGCTCGCGAAGCAAACATCAGCACGCATTAGGGCAACTGTTCCTCCTGTCCTCTGCTCTGCCCGCCAGCAGCCCTGTTTTTATGCCACGCACACCTCTCCTGCTCCCATCTCAAAGAAAACTTCCAGGCACCGCTGAAACTCGAGCGCTCAGGAAAGAAGTGACAAGTGCTGCGCATGGACAATGCTACACGTGGAAAAGTGCGTGAAGGTGCAAGGACAGGGCTCTGCTGCTCATGCACGCCCGGTAAAACAGCCATTGAATTCTGATCTGCATTAAATGCTCACAGGTTATTTAAAACGTTGCAGAAACAAACAGAAGGGGCACCAGGACCTTTCATATACATTGAATAATGCATAAGGCACCGTGCACCTTCACAGGCTGTCAGGGAGTCCTCCCAGTAACGGATAAGCCTTGTCTCGAGTAGACCATTGTCCTTGAGAGGAAAGTGGTGAGTGTGCTGCAGAGAAGATATTAAGGATAATGACGATAAGATTTAGAGTGTATTTTTAAAGCGGTGCATGGGGAATTTGCCCATATGGATCTTCCCGCTGGACCCGAGTGGACGGATGCTCGCCACACATAGCGCGGTCAAACTGGAAAGTGCTGCTAGAGGAAAGCTACTGCTCTAAGGGGAGAAACTGGAAACAAGCCTTTGTGAATGCTCGTAAATTTACCAAGTTACCTAGCCAGCCAAATAAAATGATCTTATATTTTAAATATGCAAGTATTTTTGATTTTGTATTTCTTAAACACAGCTTTGAAATTTTCTAAACTCAACATGGCTATTTTAAAATGTCCTTCAGGTACATCTGAAAATGCAAGAATGACCAAGGTAAATGAGAATTTTTTTCTCAAAGAGAAACTTTTTCATTCACACATCCCTGCTCCCACACTGAAATAAAAATTATTAAAGAAAATAAAATTCCTGAGAAACTCCATTCTACCCAGTATTTCTGACCATGCCAAACTGTGGTAGGAGCTGAACTCACCAGGTCTTTATAGACGGTGATTACAACAAGGTACCTAGTGCAGTTCCTGGCACAATTTCTCAAAAACTTTGTAATGAAGACCGAGTGTTTTGTCTGAAATACGTACTTGATTTTAAAATGAAAATGGTAAGCAGCAATTTATAGAATTCACAAATGGGGAACAAATTTATATGCAGCTAATTCAGCCCACAAATGGAAACCTAAGGTCTATACATTTTTTTTTTATTTTGCCCGAACAGCTCCCCAAAAAATGTAAGTGATGCTAAGATACTGGAAAAGAAAGTGCTCTGCAGACCTCGTGAACCCACCTGGACCTTCAAAAGGAAAATTCCCTGATCTTACTTCCATGGTAATTATTGCTGCTTGTTCTTTGCAATGGATTCCAATTTTTATTTTATTTATTTTTTTAAAATCAAACTATCAAGTTGAGTACAAGCAATCTTCGCAAGGAAGATTAAAACCATTGACTATGCCCCAAAAGTGAGCAGTATACTACCAAAAATAATTACATGATTGTGTCTGTCCCTTTCACAAAAAATAAGAATCAGAGAAATATAAAACTCTGGAGAAAATTACCTAATTTTCAACACTAAAAAAAAATCTTTTTTTTTTTTTAATAGACATCATTAGTGTTTTTTTAAGCCACGTGTTTTATGCCATCATGTTGGCTGCCAATTACATTTGTGAGTACTGTATTAACAAAACTGTGCTTCCAGTTGTGTGAGCTAATACTGACTTTCTGGCAGTTGTTTGAAGTTAGCTAGCCGTTGCTTAGAGGTACTTCTGATTCCTTACAGTGGTCTACTGTAAAAATATTCCCTGTTACACCTCATCTTTGGATAAGGAAATACTGAAGCAGAGACTTCAGCACATAATTTTAATAGTTAAAACTTCACGTTTAAACCTTACAATTACCAAAACTAGTCACGAATTTGTATCAAATTCAGTTGCTGCCTTAGGTTATCACCCTTTTCTACAACCACCCAAACAAAAGCAATAAAGAAGCTCCATTATTTTATTCATTCTGAGAGCAAAACAATTTGATTTTTCATTTCAGTATTATGCATCCTAAGCCAGCACTGGATATTGGTATTTCTCCATAGGAAGCAACACACGTCTTTTTGCCTTGCAATCAACACCAGCTCTCTTCTAAGTCTTATTTTTACCATGGAAACCAGAAAAAAAACCCAAACGTCTCAAAATTGTCACTAGGGTTGACACAAAATGTCCC